CCTGTGGCTTAAGTCATTAGATTGCAAATCCACTATTCGAATATGCGGATCACCGATCAACTATTCGAACTGTTTTTCAATCTTCTGGACTCAACGTACGTACTGTACATACCAGGTACAAGAATGTGTAGGTTTTATGATTTTTTTCTTATTCATTTTTTTTTATGAAATTTTTAATTGACATAAATTTTATGTAATCAAAAAAATGCATGTTAAGCTTGTATTATCCGGCAGCTTATTATGATTCGTCTGCCCAATAAATTTATTATTCGGCAGAAACTACATAGTTGCCGAATAATAAAATTGTTATTGGGCAGACTATCGTCATAAGTTACCGGATAAATCCGTTATCAATCATGCAGATGCCTTATAACTTAATTATTTGGTCAAATGATTTAAAGTCAGCCTAAGAAGTTGAATTCCTTCGGAATTCAATTTCTTAGTCTGATTTTAAATCTTTGACCAAATAAACCAGTTATCAGGCAATGCCTGCCTGATAACTATTAGTTATGCAGCGCTATAATTGGCTTGTTTAATGCTCAGAGGACGGTTAGCTGAAATGGAGAATGGTATTAACCAACTATTCAACTTTGAATGACTTTACTTGTAACATATAGACGAAAATTTTTATAAAAGATTAGGGAAATGCCAAAATTCGCACCTAAGACTCCCAAATGGAATGTTAAATTTACGTTGCAATGTACGAATCTTGATTCAAAAAAAAAAAAAAAAGACTTACTGCTTATAGTATTTCTCACAAGCTTACATATTGGATTAGGACAATGAAAAGTGATAAGGTTGATATAAAAAATAAACCAATTCTTAGAAACTTATAAATAGTCGCCGAAACAACGCTGTAGATCTCCCACAAAAACATTAATCAATGAATCTACCTCCTAACGTGACTTAAACTTAATCTTAACCCCTAACCTTAACATCCCAATTGGATAAAAATCACGAGGAGGGTAAAATTTTTTGTGGGTGAGCTACGACACTTCGCCGAAACACTTAGATCACATGTACACATAATAAACACGCGAAAATCATAACCAGATTACAAAGCTTAAACGAACTCAAAAGTTAAACCAAGTTGGGATGTAGTATAACAGCAAATCGAATTTTTTACGTAAACTGTTCGATACGTAAGCATCGAAACAATTTGCCTCGAATCATCACAGTTACATTGTCGATAGAATGATCTATCATTTGATCGACCAAGAATATTGCGTAGAATGTTCGATAAGTAGGAGAAAAAACCCAGATGTGTTTTCATAGAAGATGCACAAAAATGAGAGACTATTTGCGATTCCCATTTTTAATCTTACTCTTGAAATTTGCGAATATATAAAATTCTATGATTACTTCACAAATATATTTGATCAGTATTTAGGTTTACCATTTACTTTATTTAAAAAGTAGATATGGGTATTCAAAAAGCAGAAATAATGTGTGCCACCGGCACAATAGGTTAAAATCAAAAAAAAAAAAAATGACAAAAACAAAATTTCCATATGAATTGGTCTACTTCAGTGTTGCTAGATCATTCGTAATAAAAATACCCCGTGATCTTGATATAGTGATCGGGGTATTTATTGATTTATCCTAATACTATTGTAACTATTGCGTATAAAATTTTAATAGTTTAAATATTTGGCTTGATGAAGGTTCTTTACAAATCTAGAATAAAATTAAACAGGAAACATTCGTAAATTTGATTAATTTTTAATGCTTAGGTATTCTTATTACTCAGACTAAAATAATATTAAAAAAATCTTGATACGGTTGGGCAATTGCAAAATTGAACTGATGACATATTGATGTATTTAATTTTTAGCTTAATACTATTTTTTAGTCAATTAAATACTTTGGAACGGGCCTATTGTAACAGCAAAGTAATTTATTAGAAAAAATATTATTGACTATTCATGCATTTTTCATTGGTTAATAATATATATGTTCCAATGTTCCATGTCCATTGGGTTCCAGTTTCCAATCCAACACTGCTCTACTAAACCAGTAAATTTAAAATTTTTCAAAAGAAAAAGAGAATGATTATTATCCGACAAACTCATATGATCATGAAAAACTTTCTTTCTGTTATTTTTTTTCATGTGTTACGATGTAATTATGTTTTTCCAATATTCAAAAAAAAAAAAAAAAACTCAGCGAGCAAATTTTTGTCCAATAATGTATACTTAAATATATAGTCATTAAAATAATTAATAATATTAAATTTTATTAAGACTGGTAAAAAAAGCGTATACTTATTTAGTGATTTAAGCCGGCTATGGCAGCCGCGGCTAAGCTGGCTTAGTCGGCTGAGCCAGCCAATGTAATATGATCGGCTGGCTAATGCGGGCTAAAGATGATATGATTTAGTATATAGTAGGATTTCCGGTAAATTCCAAAAAGGAAAATGAATGAACATAAAATACAAGCTAAATTTACCGAAAATTTCCGGAAGTATGGTATTTAGCCAGCCGATTAGCCGATATTTTAGTCGGCTGGCTTAGCCAGCCGACTAAAACCTTACGGCTTAAATCACTATCAGGTGTAACCGTTGTGTAACGTGAAATCGAAGGCTTTTTCAAAAAATCACCGATAACGCAAAATTTTGCTTAAAGAAATTGCCTTTTATGCACTAATTAAAAAATTCCTAATTAAATTTTACTATATAGCTTGCCTTAACGCTAGGGATGTATTATATAAATTACTTTGTTACGTTTCATTGTAACTTACGAAATTGTAATGTAACTTTACCGATATTACAAAGATATCCATTATTATGTTCGGAATTGTAATTTTTATTTCTTTTTAATGCAAGCATTATAAAAATTTTTGCAAAAATTATTCACACGATAAAAATTACATGTAATTTTGATTTCAGAAGATTACACAAAATTTCGTAAAATAACGTAAAATTACAGTAATTTTCCATCCCTACTTAACGCAGCTCTAACTCCAACCCTAATGCTGGTCTAATTTCACGCGTTATTAGCGAAAATAACAACAAATAAATATTTATTATTGTCACATAATTTGTATCACTTGCAGAAATAAGTAAATCCGTAAAAAAAGTGAGAAATCTGTTTTAGCTGATCTTGGCCGAATTCTTTGAAAATTTTTTGATTCTACCAATTGTTATTTTTTCAGATACATGGGAGTTGTCGTCAGGATGTTGGGCTTGAAGAGAAGGTGGGATAAAAAAAGCGTTTGGGTGTTGAGGTTTAACACCCTTAAATGTACCATATTACATAATTTGATGGAATTTTTCAGGCCAAGTTCGTTAATAAAGGTTTCTTCTTGTAACCCAAATTTGTCAAAATGATTCGAATTACCGCTGTTACGAGGTGAATTGTATCCTTTTAATAAGGTTTATACGAAATTATATGATTTTAAGTGATAAGGCAACTCGCCAGAGGCGTGACGTGGGTGATTTGACAATAATTTAATTTTTGTAAAGAATTTATTAGGGTGATTTAGCAAATATATTATAAGATATTATTGGAATCCCGTAGGATATAGGATTATGTTTACAAGAGGGAAATTACAGAGCTTTTATAACTTTTTCTAAACTAACGAATCCAAGAGGCTTAGAGATAAATCTGATCTTTCATCATGAAAGAATCAAGAAAGAATCACTATAATTAAGGGGCTTACAATGATAAGTATAACATGATTATAATAACGAAGGCTTTGCTTCACAATATTTCATATTGTTACTACTTCTAACTATTTCTTGATTCTCGGTTTCTTCTCTTTGGATTTCTTGAATTTCGGTCTTTCGAGCTATTATTAATCTAAGCCTTGAGTTAAATTACAAACCTATTTACTAGTTTTATTCGGCCGATAAACCAGTATTTCTTGTCTTGATTGCTTCTCAATCACGGGTTTACTACGCCTAATTTTTGACGATCTACCTTCAAAATAATGCGCCAATACGGTATACGCATTTTGACCATATTGATTAATCCCTAATCATCTAGATTATGGGTAGAATATAGTATGTATATAAATCTTTTATTTATGCTCCGGGTTTCCAGTTTCTAGTATAACTGGTTTCCATATCACGAGCTAGTGATTCTAGACACAGCTGCACGACTTTTTTACAGCTGTTTTCATTATTTTTGGGACATTTGGTGACCGAATCGATAAGTTTTTGATGTCAGTAACTTATCGATTCCGTTACTCAGTAAATTATTGATTCAAAATTTTTCAAATGTTTCAAAAAATAATGAAAACAGCTGTAAGTTAAAAAAAATTTTTTTAACTAAAGCCATGCTAATTTTTTTGACGCTAGTCCGAATTTTAAAAAATTCTGTATTACCAACAGTCTCTTAATAGACACTTTATTTCACTTACAAGTTTACTTTGCGGGTATAAAAAAAATTTGGGATTTTGCAATTTTTAGACCCGGCCGGATATAAAAACCATTTTATTGTATCGCCTTATAATAAATATTATATATTATACGATCTTTATTTAGAAAAAGTTCATTTTTAAGTAGGTTCGTTATAAAAAAGTGATTATATCCAGATTTGACTGTATAATATCCTTTTATATATCGATCATGCCGAAATCACTAAATCGAATCAGCCAAAAAATCACTCGTAAATTTTTTATCAGAAATTATAAAAATGACTGTAAACTATAATATTAATACTCTGATTAAAGAATCCAAGAAGTGCCGAGAAATTTCACAAAATATTTAGAAGAATAAAGTTACCATTAAATTTCCATTAATATATATATTTTTATATGTTTGAATATTCATCTTATAGAATATTTCATTTTATTAATTCAAACGAAAAAAAAATTATTTTAAACATTCATCTACCAACTTTATAATGTAAAAGCTTCTCCCGCCCTAATTACCCTCGTTCGAGAAACCAAAGATAAGAAAATTTACGGTCATAAAAGTTATTATATAAATAAGCTTACAAATCAATTTTTATAGGAATAGAATGATTTATAACGTGATCTTAATTCATTCTGACTCATCAATTCTCCAACACATTCGACAATTCTTCCAAATAATTTTCAGAACAAATCAAAAATAATCTTTCTTTACTTTTTATTTTATTAATGGCAAGTTCAACATTTGAGACAAATATTCCGATCGACGTTTCCTTCACGTTCGAAATTTCAGCCAGAGTATCGACCTCCGTCATCATAACTTCAACCTCTTCTACACCGACAAACTCTCTCCTGGAGTGCCACTTTGATTCAATATAATGTATCATTTGGGTCGTTTGCAACAATTGGCGAAAATAATTTAGAATATGCGGCTTTAGTTTTGATGGAACCTTTCCATGCATGGACCTCTTTGAAATCTGATTTATGAGAATAATGATTAAACAATCGTGAAAGTTTGATTTTATTTAATTGAAAATTTTGACATTAATTGTGTATTACCCTACAACTTGATAACGAAAGGTAAAACGGCCAACTTGCAAAAAATTCTTTGTACTAGCTGTGGCTGCATTATTATGATCTTAAAAAGGAAGTGTCGACTAACAGCACTACAATATATAGTAAATGGCGGCTCCACGGTCCATTAGGGGGTTTCAAAGTTAACAAATAAGTGACGCATTTCGAAAATAAATAGGATTTTTTCAATAGTATTTTTACT